GAACGTGTTTTGAGCCAATTGCTGAGATATGTGCCTACTCACCTACGGGACACCAAACATTTTTTGGACCATCTCGCTGACTACCAGCGACAACACACGATGCCAAGTGACATCATATTTTTCAGCATAGACGTAGTAAACCTGTATGGTTCCATTCCTTTAGATGAGGCAGTGGAGGCTGTTCGGGAAAAGTTGCAGGAGCATGTTACTGATATCAACATGTTCGGTTTGACACCCGATGACGTATGCACACTCCTGGACCAGTGTCTGAGGAATAACGTCTTTTGCTTTGACAAAGATTTCTACAAACAGAAAGTGGGAATCGCGATGGGTAACCCTTGCGCCCCTCCCGTTGCTATCCTCTTCCTAGACAGGCTGGAAAGACTGGCTTTACAAAACAGGGAGGCTAAGCCCGACCTGCTCTTGCGATACATTGATGATTACGGGGGAATCTGGACCCACGGGGAGGAAGCCCTGAAAGATTTCCTAGCGTATTTGAACTCACTTCATCCTACAGTAAAATTCACGATGGAGTTCACGAAGCAGGACTCGGGGGTCCCATACCTAGATACCCTGGTCTCTGTCGTTTCTGACAATGACATCACATTTCTGGCCACTGAACTGTACATTAAGCCTACCAACTCGGGCATAGTGCTTCATTTCTCTTCAGCTCATCCGTCGTCGACCAAAATTAGCATGGCTAGGAACCAGTTTAGAAGGGCCATAGCAGTATCGTCGAATAAGGACAGGGAAGAAAAGAGCGTGACAAAAATGTGGAATCTCCTTTCTAGCAACGGGTACCCTGAAAACGTGCTTAGGAGAACTCTAAGGGAAGCGAAAGCTGGGGGCACTAAACGGGGTTCTACAAAAGAGGATGTAGATGGCTTCTTGACTCTACCATATGTGGACGAGGAATTATTGAGCCGGGTGAAAGGTGTGGTGCGCAGGTCGGGAATGAACATCCGACTTGCTTGGCGAAACAAAAACAAACTGAAAAACGCGCTAGTCAGGTCAGCCTTCTCACCTCCTCTCTGTCCGGGTGCCAGTCGCGGGTGCTACTGCTGTAAGTGTGGCTTAGCAGGGAGATGCACGACCAAAAATGTGGTTTACAGGATCACGTGTACTCTCTGCAAGGAACAGCCGGCGGTGTATGTGGGAGAGAGCAAACGTCCTGTCAGACTGCGTTTTAACGAGCATGTGAGGAACATGCTGAGTGCGACTCCCGACACCCCCCTCGGAGACCACTTTAGAGTGGCTCACGGTCAGCTGTCATTAGACAGAGGGGCGGATCTACCACTTACGGTGGAGATACTGCACCAGGCTCTGGACTACCCAGACAGAAAGATAGCAGAGTCCATCACTATCAGAGATTCGGAGCCCTCCCTGAACGAACGTCTTGTGTCTTGGCCTATCATATAAGTGTGTAAGATAGCGTATGCAGCGTGTGAATTCGAGTCATCGATCGTATCGAATGTCAAAAAGTGTTATGATGAGTTATATGTCCTGATTTTATCTCGTTTTTTTATCGCTCGTTTTATGTATGTGTGTACGGTACATCGGAAACATCTTAGCATAACCAAGGATGTTCTTCCATTGAAGTCTTATGTAAACAAATACCGCGAGATGAATTTCGAAATATGAAAATAGGCTGCCGTCTGTCTGCTGTAACCGTTTTTGTCTTCTACATTGTTCTTTCTTTCGTTTGATAATGGTCTGTTGGCCGAAATATCACGTAAATAAAAAGGTGATTTTTCATTAATTTTGCTATAGATTCGAGGAAAAAGGTCAATGTTTTTCTTTCATATAACAGGCTACATCCGTGGTTACGCCCAAATGCAATAAGCCAGGTGCTGCTCAGGAAATTACTGACATATGTAATCTGTAAAGCCTTACAAGTAGGATTTTAGCTTCGGATTTTAGCCTCGTCTTACTCAGCGTGACCAGCTAGGCAGGCTAATTTTGGAAAGGTATGTGAACTGCACACCCAGTACATTTTGTGTTGAATGGTGTTATATTCCAAGATATTCACTCGTGCATGAAACTGGTGCGCTGCTTACTCCTCACAAACTTTGCTATTCTTCGCATTGTTTTTGTTGTGGTTAAGCAATGGCCATGTTTCGCCAGTTTTAGGTTTGCTAGTGTGAACGTAGTTAACAAATCCAAAGTCTCCTTTGACTTGCGCATGATTTGCAGCTTTTCTTGTCCTTGAGGTTACGAACCCAAGCGGCCCCCCGTTTGTGGGGCCTGAAGTTGGAGAATTTCCCTGTTTTTTAGGCTTATCCCGGGGAGTCCGATTGAGCCGACGAGACGGTGGAAAGGTTACGGCTTTTACAGCTCTCTTCCTGAAAGTGGACGGGTGGGATCATTGGATGCCATGAAAATCAGCTTCTCCGGGTTCTGAGCCTGCAGTTGAGCGGTCGTGTGAACGGGCCAGCTGTGGAATCGAGCTGCGGCTCAGACGGCGTATGTTTCCAGAATTTTTCAGCACTCGGGCGTGTATTCCCGTTTGAGTGCGAACTGCCACACCTGGAGAATTGCGACAGGTGTTGGTTCATGGTGCAGTGTTGACCGGTGCGGTGATATGTCGTTAGTTGTGTCAGAATACAGGTGTTCCGGAAACGAGCCGATCAACTCTAATTCTGGGTGACATACACGATACAGGTCACAGGATGGGTCTGGCATGGGTTCCGGGAAAGGCATGTCGACGCGGATAGTGCTTTGACATATTTGCCTAATTCAACGCAATTTCATCATAAATCGTGTTTTATAAGGTATGATAATGGCCTACAATTGTTTAAAATTCCTCGGATATGTGTACCTACAAACGTGCCCAATAATAGGAAGAATCTAGCAGACGTTGCGAATTAAGCACTGATATTATCTGAGCGTCTCATGATATGCATACCCATTACCCATGTAAATTGTTGTCATGTGACAGCATCTGCAGCTGCAGGTACATGATGAAATAACCAACACAGTTCATAACAAAATCCCCAACACACCCCAAATATCTTCCCAGAACTCACAACATGTAACCGTGCTGACAGACAACACGTTGCTATAAAGTGTCCAAGGATGGTCGCAACAACAATGCGAGATAACCGTCACGATCTTTCTGATTGTCGTAACAGCCGCGGATTGGAAACTCCGGACCGATGTCGTCATGGCGGAATGTCGGATTTTGACGCGGCAGAGGCTCGGCAGGTGTCAAACGACGAGATGGCCGGTCGGCTGCACGAGCGCGCCACCCCGTACCAGTCCCGGAAGGTGCACCCTTCCGGGGCTGTGGAATGCCTCTGCGGTGAAAGCGTGATGTATAATGTCCGTTCTGATTGTTTCTTTTGATAAAACGCGCATGAAATATTCTTATTTGCGTATTGTTCAATTTTCCGTCAGATATACGCGCGTAACCTTTGGCCTTTCTGCATCTGATTGACTTAAAAGTCATTTCAATTAGGTACATAGGTACATGGCTGGTCCAATTTGGCCCAAATTTGGCGTGCCCTCACTTAATTTGCACATTACCATTTTAAATTGATATGAAACCTTCCCGAAGTGCCTTGGTTTATACCTGGTTGTTCTTTTCCAAACTATTATTTAGACGCCTTAAGTCCGACGTGGTAGATTCACAAATGTAATTTAGAGACCGTTGCTGGCTCCGGTCAGAGGAAAGCACCTCATCTCACTGCGCCTTGGCACATGCTCCAAACATTGCGCTGCAAACCACGCATGACTTCCTTGCCGGTATTCTGCAATCGGTCAGCGTGCCAGCTGGAACTGCGGTGAGGCACCGAGCTGGCGACGGGGCGGCGCCAGTGGGGCCAGCCCTCAGCGCGCGCTGAGGAGACGCCCGGTGGAGGCTCCTGTCACATCCTTCGAAGACCCCTGTCACATCCTGCGTACTTACCTAGCCGGACTCACGGGCCGACCTAGTGAAGCTGTAGTTTACCGTCCAACAGGATCCCGTCTCTCAGGAAATGGTAATGCACGTTCGGGTGCGATTTCAAAACATGATGAAGCAATGAATAGACACAAACAGTTGTCACAGTTTCAAGAGAGCGTACTTTTGGACATTTCTTATCTTCGTGACGCTATAAAGTCGCTCACTATCTGCGTTTTACTTACCCCACAGGTGTGATTTGTGGCGTAGTTCGCTCTTCCACGTATACTCAAGCAAAACATTGTCATGAGTGACGAGAGCGAGTTGCGCATTGTAGAGCATTACATACAGCTTATGTCACTTCTTACCTTGAGTATTGAGCACGGTACGTTGCGTCGCACTCCCGTAAACATTTCTCAAACTAAAAATGCATCAACTTTGAAAGGTGGAAGATAAAAATGCGAATAAATTGTGGTTCAAGAGCTCCGTGACCTATGATTTCAATCGACGTACAGGGTACACGGCTCGCTGAACTTAATAATCAAGTTTGCGACATATCTCGAGAATGGAGCATAACTTGTAGCTTTATCCTTTTCCCTGAGACTTAGGAGTATAATGTGCCCTTTATTTGTGCCTGCCAATGTCATTCATATTTCATCAATATGAAAGAATCTAAGAAAATGCAAAAATGCTCGCTTTTAACTACCTATTTAAATATATGCATTGGGAGTGCAAATTCAAGACGTTTTAACTTAAAATGGAATGCGCCTTCAGATTTAACGGCTGATTTAAGCTTCATGGAAGGAAACAGATAACACCTCACCAAACTCAGAACAATGATTCAACTCGCAGGAAGCCTTTCAATTGGTCACCCTGCCAACAAAATAAGCAGTAACTATGCAACATCACCAGTTGACTCAGTCCCAGTCCGGCTCGACTGCTTCTCTCTCCCACCAGTGAACTGTCTTTTCAGGATTCCAGTGACGTAATTACCGATATTCATGCCGATCGGGGGCGGAGTCACCACCTCATCTGCCTACGGCCTCCGCTGGCCTCTGCAGATCGTGTGCAGATCGACTATATAATCACTGCGCCTGCCGGAGTCACACAGAAGCGACTCCGTTCCTATGGGGTGGACAACTCGTGTGCCAACTGCGGCGTTTGCGGGAGCCGGTCGCGTCATGATGGGTTTGCTGGCAGTGATGGTGGTGGTGTCTCTAAGTGCGCAGCTGTGCAGCTGTGCGCAGTCGTATTCACAGGCGCAGTCGCAGTACCCGAGGTATCTCAAGTTTCCTGTGGGGAGAGGTGAGTCCAATATCAGTGCAGCTCTTATGCAATGATATTGCTATTAGGTTAAATGGGTTACTTGGTTCAGAAATGGATAATAGATCAAGCTATTGTAATTTGTTTGCCAAACGGTAGAAATATTGGTTATTTGTGATCTATCAAACATGAACGTGTGCAAGATGTCATTCCATTTTGTAAGAAGGGAGAAATGCTTTCAAAAAGATATATATTGAAAATAAGTTGCCTGACAGCATACGAAGTTCATCTGGTGCCATTGTCACATGTTTTAGATCCCGATACAGAATGTATGGATTATCAAGTTAACAAGCGCTTCAAAGTTGGCGAGGTCTGGACATCGCGCTACTCCGGCTGCAAGCAGAGCCACTGTATTCGAGAAAAGGGTGTGCTCTACATCGACAGGTTTCAGTGAGTCCCTAGTCATTCTGCAAAATAATGGGCGCTTATTGTCGAGATTTTACGGTGGTTGGGAAATATGTAGTGATAGATTGTGACACTTAACCTTTAACATAACTATGTATTTACCGAAGCGTAAAGCAGCGTCAACTATGCTGTTCCGTGTACCTAAATATATTGATGAAATGATTGACCATGGTACTGAATATCGTTGCTGAGACCACGACTTAAATTTTTACTTTTTATATAACTTTTTTGTCAAGTGAATGATTCACAATCAATGCGGCGCACTATTTCGTCAGTAAACAGCGGACTCAAGCGGCTTGCGGCTACTCGACTACGCCGTACATTATGTATTGATTGCCCATGCATAGCTTCTGGGTGTAATTCCAAGCATCTCTGAGCCAACAATGCATTATGCAGTCCGTGCATTCCGTGCGCTAATGGATGGTGTGTTGTGTGTCGCCAGATGCCCTTCGGTTCAAGACAAAGTGGACTACAAGAGGCTGAAGGCCGATAATCTGTTCTGTCGAGAGGCAAGAGGAGATCGACGGAAACCATTTCCAGATTGTTGTGCCCGCCTGGTGTGCAAATACTACTTCAACGGGAAATTGGTTCCCCTGCCGCTGCATAAGTATCCCTACCTGTGAGATCTTATACGCGCACAGATCGGCTGAAGCTGAAGACACAGGACTCTACCACCTATGTCGTCTTTCTGTGAGGTCCATTGCACCTCTCATGTTGGCTGTTCAATGCAAAGGAGGAAGACAAAGCCTTTGAGGTACTGTTTCGTGATATTTATTTGCATAGATCTGTAATCATAACGTGTAGGCATCCTAATTTATTGTATTGATTTTGATTTTGATTGGTGTGTTATAGCTTTTGCTACTGCAGAGTTGGAAAACATTTTAACACATTGATGTTATTATAGTGTATGCGGTGCGATGCATGTCGTGATCATGATGTTAACATATTTTGAATCCACTTTTGTAATCATTATTCACGATGTAATTATTTTTTAACCCTCGCCCATGTAGGGGGGGGGTTGGTGCAACCCCCCCCCCCCTGAGGCTTTTCGGAAATAGTGCAAAAACGGCGGCGCGCAGCGCCGCCAAATTTTGGGTACCTTATGGGGCAAACCTTGCGCATCTTTTGATAAAAAAAAAATTTGACCGGGTCATGTCAGGTCACGGAGTTATGACGTCACAAAGGGAACAGCCTCCGGCCGGATTTTCACAAACTGAGTGCCAACGCCCGAGGTTTCCTGCCGGTGGTACCGACATCGGTTGATGGTTCGTGATGAAACTTCCCATGCATGTTGGGGCAAGTATTGGCTATCATATGGTATAAGAAACTTGACCGGGTCAGGTCAGGTCACGGAGCTATGACGTCACAAGAGGAACAGCGTCCGGTACTATTTTTGAAAAGCGCTCGAACCACTATTTTGCTAATTCTTGTCACCTCAATGGGAATATGCAGCAATATTAGCTTCTATAGGGAGCAAATGGACCTCCCAAATCCAAAAATACAATCAGATTTCAAAAATTTAAATTTTGATTTTTCGAATTTCTGCCGCCGACTGTGACCTTGCCGACTTCCGGCGCTCCCAACGCGCCATTTTTAGAGCTAGGGAAACGAAATACATACCAAACGATAGAGAATTGATCAAGGAACACGATAGTGAAGGTGTAAAGTCGATATCTCCCACCGTTTTGCCGCAATCGCCGCGGAAAGTTGAAAAAGTCTATTTTTTCCGAAAATTTGACCTTTGACCGGTCAAAAGTATGTCAAATGTTGACCTAGGACCATAAAATATACCACCAATCGCGAGATCTCGGCGAGAGCAATCCGTTGGTCTTTTCCGCTAAGCTCTACGACGCTCCGTTTTCAAACGCCAAGGGGGGGTCGCACCAACCCCCCCCCCCTGCATGGGCGAAGGTGGCAGATCGCCGTTTACGGGCGAGGGTTAACTTTAACTTTTGTAATTATTATTCGCGATAGATTTAAATGTTTATAGAGTGATGCTTTGATGTAGAATTTATCAATTCATGCTCTGTGTACTTTAAAATGAAACATTTGTCAACATCATCATTCAATGATCATACCTACATATTTTGTAAGTGGCAAGCGATAGTGTGATGGCGGTTATCTTTTGCAGAAATATAAAAAAGCATTACTATTATATTAAACAAGTGTACGACTCTATGTAAAGTGTTAAAATCAATGACACTGTCCCTTAGAAAGCATTCAAGCTCTTTTTTCTGAGAAAAGCTCATGGGATTTCTATTATATCAATTAATGTTTCAAGTCAAACTATCAAGAACTTCGTGAAAAATAAATAATAACGGGCGGGTAAACATGGATTACATTCAATCGACCACAGCCCCAGCTATGATTTTCCCCGGTCATCCCGCTTTCTACGTCACGCATGCTGGTATGACGTCAAATTCTCCCTACGGATCTCTCTGGATGCGGTTCAGGTGTGACGTCAATGACATTTTATTGGTCGATCCTTACACACCACAGGTCAGCTTGGACGTCACCTAGCCCACCGGTTTCAGTGTAGAGCCAGCTGGCGTCATCGACTTTTCCTGACAACCCGGATTACCTTCATATTCGTCGTAACTATGATTTTATTTTGTATCCAAAATGGGTGTTCTTGGGCTGGTTGTTGATTTTTTTTTTGGACCATCTGTATTCTGTAGACTGTAATATAGGTCTGTCATTAATTGAGCGCACAGAAGCCGTTTTCACGGCGGCCATCTGGTACACATTTGGTGCAGATTAGGTGCAGATTTGGTGCCGATTTGGTCAAATGAGGTTCAGTGTGTTTCTTAACCCGCGCCCAGATGGGGTCTGCCGAGCAACGCGGTCTGATGGGGGGGGGCCATTTTGGCCCCCCCCCCTCAGATCTCGAGAACCACGCAACATAGCGACAAGCGGTAAACGGTGTTGGATAGCCCCAACGGGGAACTACCTTGTGACCCAATTTCATTGACCTCGGTCAAACCGATGACGTCACAGGTCAGGTCAAAGGTCGAATTTTCACCGTTTACAGGCATTTCAAGAAATGCGTTGTAAAATCGAGTAAAATGCATTTCATTGAAAATCATCGATGGGGAAATGTTCTTCAAACACATATTTTGCTATTTGAGGTCACTGATACCAGGTCAGGTCACAGAGGTCAGGTCACTGGGGGGTCACAATATGAAAGTGTCGTGTGATACATGTTTTATGGTCCATTTTACATGACAAATGCGATTATGTGGGTCAGACAGACTTTAAGGGCCAGCTTAGGTCACGTTTTGGTCAAGGTCAGGTCAAGGTCAGGTCAAGGTCAGGTCAAATTAGGTCAAATTTCAAAGTTGATATTTTTGCATAAAATGGGTATCGATTCGATGCAGCTCGTCACGGGGAGTTCAATGGTGGTCTCCGTTTTGTGCTACGAGGTCTAGAATTGCTAAAAATTGAGTTCAAAAATTTGACGTCATCAATTTTTAACAGTTGTTTTGCTATAACTTGGCCAAAAAAGAGGTATCGATCTAAAATTTGGTATGTATATCGAAGAGCGCAGGGACTATCACATATATTCCGGTTTTTTTCGAAATTCGAAAATTTTTTGGAAATTTTTTGAGTTTTTCTAAAAAAATCATTTTTTTATTTTTGGGGGTCAAAATCCCAAAATTTTGAAAATCCGAGATAGCAGTTTTGTAGCGCCGTCTTTTCTCTATACAACCACATAAATAACTTTAAAATTGCTTGTTAACTGTAGAATTTGTGAGCGTTTAAAGATTTCATGTTTTTTGCTCATTTTTACTCGAACATGACCTCAGTTTGACCTCAATAACTCCTGACCTGAGGTGACCTGTGACTTGAAATTTTGTGTGAAGGTGTCAAATTGATGCCCGGTAAGGTACCCAAAATTTGGCGGCGCTGCGCGCCGCCGTTTTTTCGCTATTTAAGAAAAACCACAGGGGGGGGGGCCAAAATGGCCCCCCCATCAGGGCGCGGGTTAAAAGTTATCAATTTGGACTGCACAGATGCTTATATACCTCAGTTTTCAAATTATCAGACCTTGTTTTCGATTAAAACACTGAAATAAATTCATGATACGAATATATTTATTGTGAAAGAGATTTGGTGCACATTTGGTCAAATTACGTGCATCTGCCTCATAGCGCGTCCTGAAAACGGCTGTACCTACCCATATCTACCATCCCTCCCCTGGCTTGTAGCCAGGGATGCTCGCTGACGTCACAAGACTTGCACAAGACTAAGCTGCAGAGAATCAAGCGAACTGCGGGGGATGTCTCAGTTCACGTTCAACTTGCGTTAATCCGTGTTTCACTGCGCGTTTTACGCATTTCACTGTGTTCGCTGCACGTGACCAAGAGTAAAATGATGACCCTGTTCTGGAGAACTTGTCCGTTGCCAAGCGAGCGGTCGTTACCATTTTAATGGTGTTATGGTTCCAGAGACTGGCCGCCGTCCACTGGTGCGGAATTCCGTCCGGAGTCCGTCCGGAATGTCTCCGCACGCTGGCCGCATCCGGTCCGGATGCGGTCCGGATGCGGTCCGGATGCGGAGAGCTCACGGACACCATGCGGAGACCGCACCGACTACGGACGGAGACTGTGACAAATGTGACGAATTGAGAGATGCATGGATGACGCCATGATTTTCTGAAATATTTAAAATAAAATAAGACATTACAACAAAAATTATAGATGAATTATTGTCTTTTCTGAATTTATAATTATAGCTCAGCATATTTTTTTTTTGATGATGGTAGCTGTGTTATGATGCGGATATATAACATAAATACAAAGCATGCAGATAATTCGGGAGATCTAAAATATATTAAATGTTTGGTAATGCCTTATCGCTACCAAGGTGATATAAACAAACAATTGACATCCGGCATCTGCACTCTGCAGCGATATCTTATATGCGCCGTCAATAGCTTTCTGTCGACTTTCCAGGAGCTTGATATATACGTACGCTGCCGTCTTCGTTCTTGTTATTGTTAAGTATACATAGGCTACGTTCGTTCTGTGTTTATTGTTCTTGTTGTATTTCATACCGTTTATTGTTCAAGTGTTCTGTATAAGTGTAACTATGGATGTACGTGTCGGCCTGGCTCAGGCTCGGCTCCGTGTGGCTGTGGAGCACGCTCGTCGGCGGCCACGTCGGCGAGTATGGGTGACCGACGTGCTGCAGCGGCGTAAAGCTCGTGGCGAGTTTTACCACCTCGTGCAGGAGCTGCGACTCCTGGACCCGGATAGGCACCAGACCTATTTCCGGATGAGCCGCGACTCGTTTGACCTGATCTTGTCTAAAATCGGACCGATCATCACCCGCCAGCACACCAACTTCCGAGAGCCCATCGAGCCGGCCCAGCGTCTGGCCATCACCCTCCGGTACCTCGCCTCAGGGATGGAGTTCGCCGCGCTGGCGCCCACCTACCGACTCGGCGAACGGACGGTGCGAGCCATCGTGTGGGACACGTGTGCCGCCATCGTGGCTGTCCTCGGCCCGGAGGTGCTGCCGGCCCCGACCGAGGCCACCTGGAGGCGGAGCGAAGCGGCCTTCAACCAGCTGTGGGACTTCCCCAACTGCGTGGCGGCCATTGACGGGAAGCACGTCCTGATCAAGGCACCAGCAAACTCAGGCAGTGAGTACTTCAGCTACAAGAAGACTTTCAGCACCGTACTTCTGGCTGCCGTCGACGGTAACTACCGCTTCGTGTACGTGTCGGTGGGGAGCGCTGGGAGGGAGTCCGACGGCGGCATTTTCGGCCGCAGCGACCTGGCTGAGAAGCTGAGGGACGGGACGCTCGGCCTGCCACCAGCCAAGCCGCTCCCGGGCACGGAGGTGACGCTGCCACATGTGTTTGTGGCGGACGAGGCGTTCCCTCTCACCGCCAACATCATGCGGCCGTACCCAGGCCGCACCGAGGCCAGGCTCGGCCGGCCAGCGGCGGTCTTTAACTACCGCCTGTCCCGGGCACGGCGCGTGGTGGAGAATGCCTTCGGCATCATGTCCCAGATGTGGCGACTCCTGACACGGCCGCTCAACGTCTCCGTGGACCACGCCTGCCAGCTGGTCTACACCATCTGCATCCTGCACAATTTCCTGCGCCGTGACGACGCAGCCGGAGCACCACCCCGAGTCGACGGCACGGAGGCTGAGCAGGCGAACGGTGGCGGGGGCGGCGCGCTGGTGGACCTCCGCGGCCGTCTGGCGGCTCACCCTCACAACTACCCCGTCCGGGCGGAGCAGATCCGACAGCAGTTCACACACTTCTTCATGGGCCCGGGAGCCGTGCCCTGGCAAGAGTAGGAAGCTGTCGGATGTCGGTGTGTGTCAGTGTGTGACACGTGTCTTGGAACTAGTGTGTACTAGAGTTCCATGTGCGGTGAGCTTCATACGCTACGTGCATGGGTTAGGAGATGTTATTGAGGCATTATCGTACTTGTCAGCTGAAATGTTGCAAGCTGAATATGAGATGTGCCACTGCTGCACTTCAAATATACCAGGTTTACTCTGATTGGTGTTATATTGTAAAAGATTGGAACGTCAGCTGGGGCTAACAGACATTGGCAAACGTCAAATGACAACGTAATGCAATATGCATCAAGTACAAATATAAAAACAAACAGACAAATCTGAACAAAAACAAAATACCATTATCACTGGTCACACATGTAGGAGAGTTAGAGCCATATGGTAACATGAAAGACATACAACTTGGAATGAATCCGCGACCAGCATTTCGAGTCAAAAACAAATACTAACCCCCGGAAAGCATTTACGAGGGACATCAAGCTCATAGTTACATAGGAAAAATAATCACCGAATGATGCCTAAAACGATGCTACAATGAATGTCACAAGATCGTCGTAAAAATCACAGCACAGGTGACGGATGGACAAAGTATAATTTAAGGACAAAAAGTCAGACACCAAACAGACAGACAAAGTCATTCGAATTCATAATTCATCGTCAAAATCTCATGATATAAGGGAAATACAGGGTGGGCCAAAAAATTGTGTAACTTTTCAGCAGTAATTTCTCGAAAGTGGTAAAACATATGAAGAAGAAACTTTCACAACTTAAAGAAAATCGTTTGACAAATTATATGATACCCATTTCATGGACAAGTTCCAATGGAACTGATGTTGCCACCATCATTTAAAAAGGATATGTGTCTTTTATTCGTGTATGTGCTCAAAGTGGGAACCTCCACGCTGAAGGCACATCTGAACGTGCTCCAGGAAGCTGCCAGGAAGTGCCAACAGATACCGCGGAGCGGGTGGGCGCCAGCTTCCTGGAGCACGTTCAGATGTGCCTTCAGCGTGGAGGTTCCCACTTTGAGCACATACACGAATAAAAGACACACAGAGACACAATGATTATGGCAACATCAGTTCGATTAAAACTTGTCCATAAAATGGCTGTCGTATAATTTTTAAACCATTTTCTTAAAGTTGTGAGTTTCTTCTTCGTATCTTTTATCATTTTCGAGAGGTTATTGCTGAAAAGTGACACAATTTTTTGGCCCACCCTGTATGACACGAGCTTTGTCTCACTCCTCCTTGGCCTTCATGATAGCGGTCATTATTTCTATTTTTAGAGCAAACACACGATGCTCCGGCACACCTTCCATTTCTGCACCAACCCATTGGCCGAACGACAAGTTAGGGTTGGACAGAGTAGCGAAAGCGTTTTCTAAATTCTGAAGTGCGTCGTCAACCCTCCCTAGTTTATCCCCAGTCTTGGGCCGCTTGGCGCCGCTCACGCGAGTGGTGGCTGGCTGGGCGGCTGGCTGGGCGGCTGGCTGGGCGGCTGACGGGGTGGCAGTGGCGGACCCGGACGCGCTGCCGACCGGCGTCGACCTGCGCCGCGAGGCCGGCGGCAACGGCGGCGCCGTGCCACCAGACATCACTGCAAAGTACACCCCAATCTAAATATCAATAAGCGTACAAGACGGATCACATAGGTGATCTGTTATTGCTTCGTGCTTATAAAATGATAATGCCGATTTGTATTGCACGTCGTTCACTCGTACTGAAACTGTTAGATTCATTTATTTATTAATACCACACCTACTATTGGACGTCAAACCCCTCGAGACCCCACTTTTTTGCGATAATTTTTAAATGCGTGAACTCTCGTTGACGATATTCTGGCAATGTGTGTTTCAGAACCTGCCGACACTTTTATTACAAAAGTATTTTGACACCAAACGATAATGAAAGGTACTTCTCATTCACTCGTAATGCTAAGGTCATTTCAGGCCCGGGCAGAGGCTTGCGTTCGGCCACACTCGAGCCCCGCCACCAGCGCCATCTGCTCTTAATGTCATCTACCAGCGCCCGCTACCGCTACCAGCTACCGCCCACCATCAAGCCTGGACGGAGCGCGAGAAGCGAGTGACCGGTCGCCGGGCAAGAAGCGCCGGAGAGGTAGGGCGGAGCGTAGCGCTGATGTCATTACGTGGCTCCACCCCATGAGCGCGTATCCTTTACCCAAACAGCAGATTCGTTCCGTGAAATTTAACATTACGAGTGAATGAGAAGTCCCTTTCATGATCGTTTGGCGTCAAAATACCTTAGTAATAAAAGTTTCGACAGGTTCTAAAACACACATTGCCAGAATATCGTCAATGAGAGTTCACGCATTTAAAAATTATCGCAAAAAAGTGGGGTCTCAAGGGGTTTGACGTCCATAGACCATAGTAGAACCCAGAGCGACTAGCCGCCACGTGATATTGCGATGAACTTTTTCACCTGTTGTAAGAATGCTCGCAAACAATGCAAGACTCATCAAACCAATAGCCAAATAGATCCTTGCACCAATGTACCAAATCGATTGAAGATTCGTGCACGGCACACTGCACATTATAAAAGTACCCAGCGCCCTCACTGCACTTGCCTACCTGACCTGTCGTCGGACTGAGCCTGATCGTCGCCGAACAATGACTGCGTCTCGCTCATCTCCAACTGATCTTCCCAGTCGAATGACTAAAACAAACAAATGAGAGCACAACCGGTCAGAAACAGCACCAGATTTAGCACCTTCCGACGAGAGAAAAATGTGCATGTAGATAAGTCGAAGGAACTGCACTTGTATACTAAGCAAGAATTTCACTTCCATTATTAACCCGCGTCCCGTCGGGGGGGGGGGGCGAAACGGCCCCCCTGTCCTTTTCCGTCGATATCTCCTAAACGGCTGGAGATATCGCCACCAAACTTTCAGGACCCCTCCATGCATCAATTCTACACATTGTGACCAAAAATTTTCCAGAGGATATGATATGAAAGATTTTAGTATCAGCTTCTGCTGAAAGCTGGGACCATAGTACACAGTCCCCACTCCCAGGGTCTCTTTGACCAGTCTGCAGCCATGTAGTTAAGAAACCAAGGTCAGAAACGTACCGCGTTCGGATCGGAAGTTGAGGACTGTTGAACACCCAGGTTTGTCAGCACACTGTGAAGGAAAGGATGATAACATAATCACGAAGGATGCATGATGTTTGTTTTGCTTTGTTGGGTGATGCTCTTGCGCTCCATCGAGACCATTGCAGAGCCAGGACGATCGCAAAGAGTAGGGGGAGACATCGGTCTGGGCAGGAATCCTACTCAGTCGCCGGGGCTGAGCCCATCCAATTGGGCAAGCCGACGGAAACGGTGTGAAAAAAACAACAACAGAACGGTGTGACTGAATGAATGAGGAAGAACGAAGAACGAAGAACGGAGGATCCCATGGTTATCAATTATAATGCTTTGTCAGTGTTGTTTCATAAGTCATGATCTAATGAGACCGTTTTAGGGACACAGGATATTAGGAATGGGGAAAGGAACAAGTCTGGCCGGCCTCCCTCGTGCGCCGCCACGGTTGAATCGGCCGCGCTAACGATCACTATACCTGCTGCTGAGAAGCTAATTATCATGTCCAATGACCATGCCAGGCATCGATTGCTATATGAACGTCATGTGCTGCCACCTATGTGCCGATGGCACGCCATCTAGAAGAATCACATTGGTAATTAGTACAGTTCCCAATACAGCAAAACTCACGGTTTGGGGTTACCGGCGTCGTCCAGGAACCCCATCTCTCTCATCCAAGAGGGCATGTCCTGCGGTACCGCTCCCGCGGATCCGCTCGGTTGCTGTTTTCGTCTCTTTGTATAGTAGTCCCGTAAGTTGCGCCATCTCTTCTTCGCCTCATTTCCTGAAAGCACAGACATATGGCATGGTGCATAACATAGCATGGCGAGTGATGAATGAACAATGGATGATAGGCGTTTCAAAAGACGAAGGTTAATCATACTTTTTTATTAACTGGCGGCCCCACCCAGAGCTAAGCGGACATCTGACAACTTAAGTGACCAATCACTGTCAACACTTCAAACCACCAGCTATTCAGTTTGCTGATGTACATAAATGTGACCTTAATAGCAACGTCACAAACAGTTCTAACCTTCACGGCCAGTAGTAGCTGCGCACCGCTCCCATAATGCTCTGGCTTTAGTTTTATTGAAATAGTCCTTGTGTTTGGGCTGCCACAAGCACGGGTTTTCCTTTACAAATAAAACCAGTGCACTGTCACCTGGCATGCTGAAACAAGAGAACATGATACATTTACAGATAAGAAAGACAAAAACACATACAATGAAGCATATTGGTATGTGTAGGTAGGAAATAAATCTCATCTGTGACTTGTCCCATGGCAGTGATGGAAAATTACAATTTTCTGGTATGGTGATGAGAGTTGACCAGTCTAATGTTTAAAGTTACCTATCTTTTAGCTGTTGCACAAACATATAAACCCAAGTTTTGGAATTATGAGAGGCATGGCACGAGCAGTGTTGAATGGTCCATCTTTTTGTCAAACCAATGATGAAAACAAATTGGTACCTAGCAAAATGTTATGAAAACACCATGAAAACATGTAAATGACATGTTGACTCAAAACACTGACACTGCCTTGGGTACCACACCTACTTCAGAAGGACATTTCAAACTGCACACCACATCTACTTCAGAAGGGCAATTCAAACAGTTGTGGTGATATTGCCACAATGGCACAATGCTTGGAAAAGTGCTCAATTCTACCCCATTATGTGTCCCTCACCCATGACCCAGGTATGTGTGAGAGACACAGAATACAGCTTAGAAACCTTCCCAAAATTGGAATGTTATACCTACTATTGGCAGCACACCAATAAGTATTATCAAATGCTCAGGAAGAAGGCACCCACCATGAGTAGGTGGTGATTGTCAGGAACTACAAAGTATGTGTCGGCAAAGCAAAGCTGATAAAATTATCCTAATCAAATCCATTCAGTACCTTTGCATTTTGGTTTGACCTATCCATGCAAAATGGACTAAATACCTATGAATTGTATGACTATGTGTACTGTGTAGGGTATGTTCAGGAAACCCCAGTTGAAACTGCACAGCAATGCTCAGCCAATTGTTCTACCACATGTGGAACTGCAGGGGATATCATTCATCAACCATGAATCTGCTTTACTGATACAGGACGAAAGTCACATCTGGTACTTGGTAGTCATAAAGCATGCGTCACACTTTTTTTTGCAACCAAGGAAAGGCGCTATACCCAGAGATGCTTTCTAGCCAACCAAACCAAACTTAACCAACTCTGACGACCTAACCTTACCTACAACCTAACAACTGAACAACCTACAGCACCTCACCTTGGTTGCAAAAAAAAAACAAGTGTGATGCCTGCTTTACTTCTACCTCACATCTTGGGGGTAAAAGTGTAGGAAAAGTCAGAACTCCGAGCAAATATATAAGCATAATCTAACCTGACCTAACCTTGCCTACCAGCCTACGAGCATAAATCTTTCAACCTACGAACCTACAACCTATCAACCTAAAACCTTCCAGCATAAGGCCTAACAACCCACTACAATTTAACCTGCAACCTACCAGCCTATTCAGACCTTTTGTATGCCTACTAACAATTATATTGGGTCCATGCACTCAGTAGCGACTGCGAGTCCTCGTACCCTTCAAACTAACATCAAATCTATTTCCAGATGGTTTTAACTACAAAAATGAAAATGAGTACATCATATGATTGGCACCTAACATGCTTCATAGATGTATGCACTCTAGCTTTCTCAGCCTGAACCCCTTCCAGAAATTCAGGGTAATGTGCGATATTCTATGCACCACTTATCTGCCTGTTACTAATTAACAGGTATGTTTTTTTTTGTCGCTCATTGGAATGCATAAAACAGCATATTTATTGTGGTGTTTGTGGTACAATTAAAACAAAATGCCCTCTGCTTACCCAAAAAAAAATCATAAGAAGCATCCTCTATGCACCAATTGTAACATGCAACCAAAATAATGTTTCCTATCACTCATTACCAAATAAAATATTGCAAGTAACCAGCAGCGAAAACTCTTGCCATTCTAAGGAAATAATTTTTACTTACTTCATGATGATCGAGTTCCAATTTTTCACAATGTTCACAATGTTTGCCTCCGACACGGCCCCAAACCAACCCCAAACCACGTCTGTTCCGGACGTTCCGGATGCGGAAAAGTTCAACGCGTCGGACATCACTCTTCCGTCTCCGTAGCAACCGCATCCGAAACGCATGCGGAGAGCGCGTATTTACAAATTGCAACCGAGCTCCGCCGTGGGGTAAGGTGGGCAGGGGTTTTTGCACTACGGCTGCGGTTGAACTACCGTCTGTGGTAGAAACTTCAGGACGATGGCGCGTTTCATACGAAATCTGGCGCAATGTTTGTTTGCTTCTTTGTATTGTTATTGCTGTGAACTCTTGAAGTGGGAGTGTTTCAATAACAATTTGTGGATTATTTGAGTTTCTTTATATAAACATAGAATAGTATTATGAAACATTTTGTGGAAACTGCAAATACTGATATGATCAATTACTTAGTTTGGGAATTCATACACATTTTGTAGATATTTGTCTGGCAAATGGTGTAACAAACCTCAAGCCTATCATGATCTGAAGCTGTTGTAACAAATCAAAATTGCTTTGATGTTACATAGTACCTTGTTGGAAAGACTGGAGGCTGGAGCATGGTTCAAGATGATGCGTAAAAATTCAAGATTTGTGCGAAAGCTTGTGACTGAAGAATGAAAACAGTTGATATGATGGCTCAATCAAACGTGGAAATGGACGACAAAAGTAGAGTTTCAACATTCCAGCATGTGAGAATAACTTCAGAAATTCATAGTTCTTGTAGTATTGTATTCTTCTTATGTACAGTTATTGGTTTTGATAAGGTATTTCAAATTCATTGTGTCAGTTGAGATATAGATGGATTGCGGGAAAAATTAAGAATCATTGCATGGTAGCTAGGTACTTGTTTGGTAAAAAGGTATGTGATGAATACTATGAGAAGGTTTTTTATGACTTAATATATGGTCGTTGTTGTACCTACAAAAATGCAAGCTTACTAGCAACTAGTTTCTGAATCAAATTGAAAGTATTTGCCATGAATGTAAATATGTACCTGCAAAGTATGTCAATAAATTTGTGTGATGTTGACCAGAGAGTTTTATCATCTGGGCATTTATGTCTCTTCTTTCATTAGGTGTTAAGCATAGTAATTATGGATGAACTTTGTGCCAATATCTTCAAATTGCACAATGTATGTAGCATGTCTACAACCCTCACTGATCCTGCTATAGCTATAGGCATTTGGCACCAGCTTGACCAAGGGCATGAACTTCACAGTTGCACAACCTTTTGTCATGTACCACCAGTCACTTTTTTACTTAAGGTGCACATAGCAGTGCACACAACAATGTGCAGAGGGCCTACACAAAAACAACATGATTAGTGTGCACTATGCACAGCATTGTACCCTGATTATTTGAATATTTTGACCACTCAACAGTCAACAGTCAGGAGATAATTATTGAATATCACATTTATTATACATCACTTGTCAAACAAGAGCATGTTGACACACATTTTGACAAGATATCATGGTAGTATTCCAATAAGTTGGACAGTCACCTCCCTGGGCGTCATTTTTCCAGGAAGGTACCTCTGCAGGTGTTGTGGTAGGCTAGGTTGAATTGGGTTAAGTTAGGCGAAGTAAGGTGGTTGGGACCAGGTCAGACCGTAAGGCTTGGTCAGGTTGATTTTAATTCATTCTAATTTGACATAGATACCTATTACCTATGTATTTGCTCCAGCCTGAATTTCATTAGGTAATGAGTTAATTTTGCTTTGTTTTTATCTGTCTTGGTTTGTGTTTTTGTCCCTTATATTTTGCCCCATAGGCCAGGGTGGAGCTTTTCCAGGGAAGGTGGTGGAGCATGATTGGAGGCGCTCAACCAGACGGCATAGATGCCTGAACGATTTGTGAACGCGCACTGATGCCTGATTCAAGCCACGCTGTCTTCATGCGGGGCGGCGCGCTACTTAAAAGTCCCTAAAAGAACGGGAAGTGATGCCGATAGAACCTTCAATCATTCTGGGCTAACGCTTATGACTTGGAAAAAGTCGCGATCCCAAATCCCAATTCAATCAAAAACCTGTGGGCTCTTGTTCAGCAGGAGGTATATGAAGAGCCACCCGCCATAAGCACTGCTCAACCGCAGGCACAGGTTTAGACGGCATTGGTCTGCATCAAAGCCAGTGTGCTGGAGAATTCATTGGCTGAAATGCTCCAGAACATTCACCACCATGGTTTTATGAAAGGTGGCTACAAGCTCAGTTAAAAAAAGTACCAGATTGTTTTGCTTTTTAATTACAGCGGGAAGAAAGGTGTCCGGATAATTTCGTTACACCCCCTGTAATGTTCAAATGGTTGCTAAATTCTAAATCAGCTCCAAAAACTAGCCTAAAAACATGTAAAACTCGAAAAAGGAACCGAGGTCATCAAAGGCCATTGAGCTGACCTGACCTTCAGGTGACCTTGACACCCACCCTAATGCATGGGACCAGCGTCAAATCACATGTTTCAACGCTTGAAGCCACGTGAAGACTGCAACCGCGCGGCTAATGCGAGCCGACATACGCCGAATCGCGATTCGGGCCAAACATGGTCTCGAGAAATAGGTCACAGGTCAAAGGTCATTTGGGTCAGGGTCATGAAATTTTCAGGGTAGGTGTAAAATTGATAAAATCGGGGGCATTGAAAGTTTTGTCGCGATCGGATGGTTTTTACGCGAGTTACTCACGAAAAACCGATAAAGCGCACCCAAAAAGGCAGAAATATGCACATGCGATATCCTATACTGCGAAAAAAGTGCATCATTTTTTAACGTCGGCGACAAATTGTAATTACCCTAAGCTCAGGCAGATGTATGGTAGAAAATCCCCCAAGTGAAATACACTACGGCGGAAATAAAATACCCTACGGCGGAGCTCGGTTGCAATTTGTAAATACGCGTCCGGCGCCGAGTGAGCGCCCGATCAGCGACGCGTGGCGGACTGCGCCATTCTCCGTCTCAGCGGCGCCACGTCTGGCAGCAGCACTAATTTTACATACCAGCCGGCGCCAGCATTCCGGTCTATGATTGCACCATTATTGGCCCGGAGTGAGGCAGGGCCCCGCTGATAATGGCACTTCCGAGATGTCCCCGGTGTGTGGAGAAAGGGTAGGTCCAAGTATGCTGCGAAATAAGTGTGGGTTGACGTTGGCCTGTCTTTCTCCGCATGGGGCTCCGCATGGCGTGTCTGACTGGTCAAGAGAGTGCAAATACCATAGCATCCCACGCACTGGTGATTGGTGGATGTTTGGGCTTTTTTTCGTATTAAAAGTAGACTGCATCTTGTTTGCAAGAACAAAGTTGAACATCCCATGGGGCATGATGGATCGAAATCAGAGTGGTTTTATATAAGCCGAAAAATAAAATCGTACTACGTCCTCCTCACAGCTTCTACCGTATTTCTGGATCAGCAACTAAATACCTACACTATAATTTCATCCATGTGTGACTGGCCATCCTATTTCCACCGGCGACAAACCACAAAAGCGGGCTCAGCGATACACGTGCCTCCATGGCTGAGGAATGAGGAGAACGGCGGGGTACTGCGGGAGTCCAATTCGAACTACCACTTATATGGCACCGTTTCTGCCCCTGACATACATGGACAGTTATCAGCTATAGGTAGCTGCTTAGTAGAATTAGTGGACGGGATGTAAGAACAGCGATATTCTAAAATGAGTCCAGCGTGCCTCGTATCATATGGAACCACAGCACACCAACTCTGTACTGGTCATGTGTTGCCGTTGCGACTTTCTGGAACCGTCACAGCAGCCGCCCGGCCGTCCAGAAGAGCCCTGAGGAACCGTTACAGCTCGCGACAACTGCACGGTGCCAGCCTGAGACCGGCTCATGAGACACCCAGCTCTCAGGATAATCGGCTGGTCTGTCTGACCAAGTGCCGCTCCTGTCGTCCCGAGGCCACGGCAACCTCCGCTGTCACAAAACATCAGCGACTCGGGCACAAAGGCGCCCGTGGCACTTCCTGGTGGTTCCTGAGAGCGAGGACGCGTCTCGCTGGTGTGTACTGAAGGTACAGATGTAAGTGTAAATCGCCCACCAATGCCAGCTGTGGACACTCAGAGGACGTGCGGAAACATTTCACTTTAGGAAAATTTGAAGCTGTTGAGCGGATTTTGTGTGACCAACAGATTGTTTCTTGTTCCAAGGCGAAACCCCATCAAATAGTGTCCTGTTCTCAGAAGATGCTTGAGGTCCTTGAAAGGCATCATGCGCATGACATAAGTACCGGTTATGAGGCGTTACCCAAGGCTACATGATTTGTCCACCAAAAGTGGAGCAGAACCGACGAGGTTAACGGCAAAATTTAGAGGTCTACAGACCTACAGACTTTGACGGCTAAAAGCGGTGTAGCTTGTTTCAAATGTATCTCTTTTTGTATTTGATGCCTGTTCTTATCGTAAATTGATAATGATATTGCATCTCAGCAGTTCGACACTCGCATTGCAATCGTTCGGCACGATAGCGAACTATAGTCTCTCAAGACTGAGCCGTGCCTGCAATAGCTTTTAGACACCGGTATCGTGTCTAGTAATGCCGAAACCGATGACCAATGACCCCCAATCCCGACCGGCCGCCGCACGTGGCCCTGCGAGGTCAGGCAAGGCCGCGGCGGGCGGTCCGTCCGACCGGGCGCACACCCGGGTCCTGCAGCTGCACGACCCGGCACGGCGGCATCTCGCCGAGACCGGTCTCGGGCCGGGCCCGCCCGGGACGGCCCAGATGGCCCGTGTGAGCCGCCGCAGCGGGCCGCGCCGATCAGCGTTTTTCGAGGAACAGGCGGGCTGGTATTCGGTCAGAATGCCCGGTCCGCCGCGCGCGGGTCGGTGCAGGGTGAGATTGACCGCAAGGTGGATTGTCAGGCATCCTCGCTGACACTGGTGGGTCATAGGGTTCATATGTGGGGTGGTAGAGTCGCAATGGGTCTCTGCCTCTTCACGGCGACACTGCCTCTGACCTCTCATTGACCTCTATATGACCTCCCATTCACTGTAACCGAAGAGCCATCGGTTAAGTACATTCATCGGGTACAGGAGCGCACACAGCAAGAAAAGTCAAAATGGAGACTGGAGAGAATATATTATTTTAGGGCACTATACTCATGTATGCATATGTATACGTAGAATGAAAGTGAGTTTCTTAAATGAGTGCGTTCCATCTCGTTGCAAGGAATAATGTTGCAATCATGCACACCGCGTATAGTAACGGATGCCATCTGATAATAACATCGCGTGGCCCGGACCTATGCAGACTTTAACCAGTTTATTCTGACCACGGTCGCTATGGAAGCTCTCCTGTGTCAGAAACGCTGCATAACGAGTTCTGGGTGCGCTAAATGAGCGTCTTTGTGCTTTGTGACCACTTTCTTTTGCGCGTTCTAGGTGTCTGAGGAGCGCATGCGGCTCTGATATATCGTGTTATTTTTCCATCTGTTTCCACCAGTCGTGGAACGACAATAAATTGTGTTATATCTAGTAATCCTTTTTCTGTTCTACGAAGTTGATACACGGATGTCATGCCTGCCTGATTGTAATGTGGGAACTATTCAGCTAAACATGAAAAAGGTATCTAGCTGAAAAATCAACTTAGCATTGAACTAAGACCATTCCCAGTTTGAGACCAAAGTTTGTTTCACTGGGCTCAGCATGTACTTGTGTTTTACGCCAAAACCTTGCAATGATGCTGACAAATGGTAAAACGTCAGTTTTGTGTTAGAATCTGTCATGTTATCGTAACTTATTATGAAATACCTTATAACCGAGCGCCAGGAAAATCCAAGCGTAGAAGGAACCACTATTAATATCTTGATGCCTCAGATAACTGGTATGTCACGAACAGCTGAAATTTTCTTAATTTGCCTGACATTCTCTCCTTTCTTTGAATTTCAGCACAGCATAGCATCATCCTTCAGCTTGGCATGCGCCTGAGGACAAAAAACAATGCAGTTGTTCATAGTTCATCACCTTTAAAATGCACTGATCGGATCCTGGTACGCATAATTGAATGCATCACTGGCATTAATACGTGTATACGCTTATCAATCAATGCGTGTACTTTCTCAGTCAGCCGAAGACTGTTTTTCAATTGAGAGCAAATAAACATGCGGGAAAGCATCCAAGAAATGATGCTTAATCTTCAATGAAAAGTTCTGTGAGGCTGATGTCCAAATGTGAATAGCGATATCCACAAACACCCTAAACATCTCTTATACCTTCGATCAGCAATTACGCGTTAGTTCATTACCTTTATCAATTTGCGCTGTTCCCTGATACGCCACTATCACTGTTACCTAACAGCATAATCCTCATCTGACGTCGACTGCAGGAGTTCCCAGCAGTCGTGCTGTGATGACGCATGGATGTTGTCTCGGGCAAAATCCGCGAGCCCTCTGAAGGCCAGGGCTGCCAGAGGTGAGCTAAACGGAGCTACAGGCCAAATCCCAGCCAGCCCGTCAGACTGCCGTTGCCGCAGAGCTAGGGAAACTCCGAAACTGGAAACTTGATAACGGATACGTCTGTAACTTTTCTCGACGGCACAAGCGGATGATGGTTTTCCCTGTGAGAAACCTGTGTTATTGTACGTTGCAGAGGTAGGATGAGATGTAAGTAAATACCACTTAGAGATAATAATGAATTTGCTCTGAGAGGAATGTGGCAAGATCACGCGATTCGCTGAATGGTTTTTGCAGATCACCATGAGCTGATCGGACAATGTGGAAGGCCCATAATCAGAGATAAAAAAGCGTAATAGGATAGGCTCGAATGCAAGAGGGCGAGTGACCGCATGAGCCAGACCTAAATAATACAAAACATCGCATTTATTTCGTTTTAATTATAAACACCCTTTCATTATGTGCAAATGTCCATGCAGATTGAGATTTAAAGGTGTCAAGTTAAGTGACTCAAAAGTAAAATAGAAAAGGGAAATAATCGCAGCAAAAAATAATATAAAATAAACAAAATAAAGAGTAACAAAATAAAAATAGTAAAAAAATAATTATGACTTAGGAACATACTTAAATATGTCTAAAGAAGAAGCAGCTAAGCCGGCGGAATAAATTCCCGCTATTGGGGTACCTACTTACTACCAAGTGCATTTCCAATCAGGATTCAAAGCAGAAAAGGCATTTACTTACATGCCCGTTTTCCCGCTGAGCCACACGATTTGCTATGTAAAGAACCAGTAAGAACACCCAGAGAATGAATATCTAATGCACGCTTACCATGCATATTGCATAACGATTCGACCTCGTCGCTCTGCCACGTAACGGCATCGTCATAGTGCCACACGGTGCACAGTGGAATGCATTTAGAAATGATATCAGTTATGTTAAATGTGGTTAATTTTACATACAAAAGCGACATCCAAGCTAACTTATCATCTTTCTAAGCCCATTCACAAATAAGCCGGCCTTGGTGACCTTGTTTAACCAGTTTTCTTCCAATGCCAGCTTTCTTGCGGACGATAGAATGCTCGGAACCGGATAGATTACAAGACTCTCCCACCTTCCGCCATTTACGGCTCGCACAGAAAGTTTGTGCGTGTGGCTCGTGGGATGGAAGCCTCAGCGAGGGCGCGGTACCGGTATATAAGCCGGAAAGTCTGAGTTCCGGGGCACACTGCCAGGTCTTCCATCTCTGCGTGAGCACGCACGGCTAGCTGGGCTCGAAGGACGATATGCTGACCCATCTGACCATCACGTTCGTCGCCCTCACTGTGGCTGTAGCAGCGGAGCCGCTGGACCTTTCAAGAGAAGAAAGGGGAGCACTGTTCATTCGCCTTCCAGCACGTAAGTCCTGACGGGAATTGATTGGTTGTTACGCATTAAAACATTCATCATCACAGAAATGTTATTAGTTTTGCAATTATTCTCCTGCCGTCAGTTTTTTAACGTGTTTTTAGCTTCCAATTATAAATGATAAAATCAAAACAACGATGTTTTTAATTTGGATGTTTTTATTCTTTTCGCAGCGTATGGTACCAGTCCGGTTAAGCATGCTACGACCCGCAGATTAGCGAACACCACAGCGTCGGAGATGTCTGGTCGTCGCCCAACTCGGGCTGTAAGCTGAGCACCTGTGTCAACATCAACGGCGTCCTCAACGTGGAACGATATTCGTAGGTTTCCAAATCTGTCGCACTGGCAAAGTTAGATATTTTTGAAAATGTATTTATTTTATATATCATGAATATAACAGTGTTGTAGGAATATCCCCGCCACTCACGGTCGTCATATTTTTACGTTACAGATGCCCGATAGTTGGCAAAAATGTCGACTTCACCCGACTGAAGAAAGAAAACTACTTCTGTCGCGAGGCCGCCGGTGACAGGAACAAGCAGTTCCCTTCGTGTTGCCCCTCTCTGCAGTGCAAACACTACGTGGAGGGCAAGCTGGTGCCGCTGCCCAAGCACATGTACCCCACGCTGCGGTAACCCTCTGTGGATGGGGAAAGCAGCCGTCGTGTGTCGAAGTCTTCTTCAGATGATTGTTTGAAAGCTGACGTTAAATGTTGTTACACTGATGTTGCAGTGACGCTAGCAGTGGGGATATAAACATTTTTCAATATTGTATGGGTGTTTCCAGTGAATGTTTTCTAATATCATCACTTATCCCTATTCGTGCAATGCTGGTTAACCTGTTGAGATTTGTAAGTATATGCGGATAAATGATAGTATGCCTACTGCCGATTACATTGCCAATGATGTGTTTATTGAGCTCATTTTAGCAGTCCAGTGTTAAGTGTTACAGGTGTTGCACTGAACTTGCAATGCTACAATCGATGCTAGAAATGAGTGAAACAGTACAAATGGAAAATAAAGACGATACTAAAGTGATATTTTGATTGTCTTTTACCTATATGCAACACTACAGCTGACAGCGCCATCATTCATCACATGCTTGTTCAAACTGCGACTCAAAAAAGAGCGCTACAGTCAACTAAAGGGTGTTTATCGCTTCACCGGAGACAGCAGTATCCGTTTGAATGTGGTCCTATTTAGCTCCAACAAAAGCTCAAATTGAGGACCGCATTTGTGACGAGGGTGGGCCACACATATCTCACAAATCTGGTCAAGTTCAGCAGGTCTCGGCGTAAAGCCCCGCGGTGCAGGACGTCACACACAGGGCGATGTGTCCGTACATACATACATAAGGCCGCCGGCTCAGGACCAGAGCACATTACGGTACCTCAGCTCACGGAGAGCGGCCACACTGCACGACAGACAGTATAATGTCCCACCTGAGTTTTGCGCTCGCTGCTTTCAGCGTGGTGGTGGCAACGGAGCCGATGGATCTCACCAGGGTGCAGAGAGGAGCTCTGTACATTCGACTGCCAGCACGTGAGTTTTGACTGCTTTGTGACGTTTTTTTTTTTGTCAACCATCGAGATGTAAGGTGGCATTGTTGCGATATACAAAAATGTCATCCACCCATGAGTGTTGCTGCTGAATCACGGATAAAACTGAAATATGCAAACCGTATTGTGACTGAGCTCTCGTTATCCTTTCAGCGTATTCGACCAGCCCCAGTCAGTGTTTCGACCCGCAAGTGAACGAATACCATAACGTTGGTGATATCTGGTCATCTTCTCAAGCAAGATGCAAACTAAGCACCTGTGTTGAGATCAACGGCATTCTCAATGTTGAACGCTACTCGTAAGTAATTCTATCAAGCATCTATTATTTCATTTTTGTTCAAGTGTAGACGATTTTTTTTTATAATGTAACACATTTCTTCACAAAAAGCAATGTCCGACAATTTTCAAAACATCAGTACCTATCAGCTACCTACCAAAATAATAATTTTCTAGCCTTGCTGCTTATCATTCAAATCACTTCATGCCATGATAGTAAATGAAGGTCAGTAATTGAAACGAGTACGTAGAAATACAGTACAGAAAAATACAGATTCCTGTGTTGCTCATCAAATTATCTCTACGCCTTACAGATGCCCGGTGGTAAGCAAAAACATCGACTTCACCCGACTGAAGAGGGGCAACTTCTTCTGCCGTGAGGCCGCCGGTGACAGGAACAAGCAGTTCCCTTCGTGTTGTCCTTCACTGCAGTGCAAACACTACGTGAAGGGCAAGCTGGTGCCGCTGCCGAAGCACATGTACCCGATATTGCACTGATGTGGCCTGGCAGGGACGCGCCGATCTCACAAGTTCATTTTTGTATTCCCTAGTGAAGTCATTTGCAATTGTCTTATTTTGAACGGGGGCATGTAACTAGTGATTTTGTAGAGGCATCTCGAGTGTTGCATTTAGTAATTAATGTGTGCCGTTAGTTGTAACTCGTTTTTTGTGTCTTGACAACTGGTTGGGGAAGTAGTGCTAATACCCTATGATAATGCAATGCTTGTAAGCTGAGCTGTGATCGTTTGAGTGTACAATTGCGTGGGCGTAGCGTTTAGTGTGAAGCAACGTGACAAGTCGCTGCAAATGAGCTTATATTGGGCATGGGTTATTGAAGTGATCGTGAATTACCTCAAGCAATGATTATGGACATTTGTAGAAAAAAATACATAAGTAAAAATATGTCATTCATTTTTGTGTAGCTCTTCCAAGAGCAGCGAGCTTCTACCACCCTACACCTCCATACAAATCACAATTAAATCACGAGCCAGTGCTATCTGATAGCATAAGTGACAGTTTAAGTAAGAATTAGCAGCTCAAGCTACAATTTTGTTAGCACCGGCTCAACATATCACCGAAAAAATCATATATGCAAATGCAGGTTAGGGTCCAATGTGTCAGATAGCGGGTGCCATGTAGCATGTTACTCGTAACTCGCGCCGTGTTGGTGGTCTCGGTTTTTCGTGTTGTGCGGGGATGGGCGTTTTTTTTTTCACGCCCCCCGTCTAACTCGGCTCCTGGGCCACGTAGCGACACGTGGTAAGCGGTATTCGAAAGAGCTTCCAAAATAATGACGGAACCACCTTGGCTATTTTTGGTCAGGTCAAAGATCAGGTCATCAGGGGTCATCAAAGGTCAAATTTGGTCTGTTTCAACAACTGTCGAAACACCTGACGCATAACTCAGGAACCAATAGAGCTACAGCGCCGCAAGAAAGCGCATTTGATAGCTCTTTCACAGGTCTTTCTAAATATTCGTCTCAGATTTGACCTCAGGTCAACGGTTTAGCCTGCAGAGGACAAAAAATAAAAGGAAGCGGTTTTTACAAAAACAGTTTTTGGTAATAACTTTTGATTCAAGATAGCCATGGCATTTATTTTTCCAGCATCGTGTTTCTCTCGTTGAGACGCGTCGAATGAATTATAAGCTGACCTTGAAATGTCACTTTGAAAATTTGACCTCAGGTCGAGGTCATGACCCGACCGGAAAGGGACATGCTGCATATCAGTCGATATACATCGTCGGGCTGAGCACATCTGACGTGTTTTCACCGCTCTAGCACGTCTCTATAGTTAAAGTAAAAAAAAACTGCTAAAAAAGTAAAAAAGTTATAGTAAAAAGCTTCTGGTGGCCTTTCATGACCTGAGATGACCTCAGAGACACACAGAGGGGTCAAAGGTGCAATTTTCCGATTCATTGTCATGTTAACCTATAAATCCGTATTTGAGATTTTTTAGAACGACATTCGTCCAAAGGAGGCGCATTTCAATTTTCTCCCGTTGACTTATACCTAATGGAGAGGATGCAAAATTGACCTAACCTTAGGTCACAGGTATAGAAAAAAAACACGCAAGATAGCCACGAGCGGCAAACGGTGTTGGATAGCCCCAACAGGAAACTGCCTTGTGACCCAGCTTTATTGACCTTGGTCAAACCGATGACGTCACAGGTCAGGTCAAATGTAGAATTTTCACCGTTTACAGGCATTTCAAGAAATGCGTTGTAAAATCGAGTAAAATGCATTTCATTGAAAATCATCGATGAGGAAATGTTCGTCTAACACATACTTTGCTATTTGAGGTCACTGATACCAGGTCAGGTCACTGAGGGTCAAAATATGAAAATATGTGATGCATGTTTTGTGGCCCATTTTACATGCCAAATACGATTATGTGGGTCAGGCAGCCTTTGGGGTCAGTTAGATTATGTTCTGGTGAAGGTTAGGTCAAGGTCAGGTCAAGTTCAGGTCAAGGTCAGGTCAAATTAGGTCAAATTTAAAAAGTTGACATTTTTGCATAAAATGGGTATCAAATCGATGCAGCTCGTCACGGGAACTTCAACGGTGGTCTTTGTTTTGCGCTACGTAGTCTAGAATTGCTAAAAATTGAGTTCAAAAACTTGACGTCATCAATTTTAAACATTTTTTTTTGCTATAACTTGGCCAAAAAAGGAGGTATCGATCTAAAATTTAGTATGTGTATAGAAGAGCTCAGGAACTATCACAAATATTCCGTTTCGTCGAAATTCGGAAAACTTTTGGATTTTTTTTTGCGTTTTTCTAAAAAAAACTTTTATTTATATTTTGGGGCTCAAAATCCCATAATTTTGAAAATCCGAAACAGCAGTTTTGTAGCGCCGCCTTTTGTCTACATGACTATATAAAGAACTTTGAAATTGCTTGGTAACTGTAGCTTTTGTGAGCGTTTCAAGATTTCACGTTTTTTGCTCATTTTTGCTCGAACATGACCTCAGGCTGACCTCAATAACTCCTGATCTAAGGTGAGCTAAGACGTGAAATTGTGTGTGAAGGTGTCAAATTGATGCCCGGGAAGGTTCTGAAAATTTGGCGGCGCTACGCACCGCCGTTTTCTTGCTATTCAGGAAAAACCAAGGGGGGGGGCAAATTGCCCCCCCCAGCGGGGCGAGGGATAATAACCGAAGGTTTGTTGTCAATAGTTAAAACACTATTCTTTAGAATTGTGTTTTTCTATTGAAAAACAAATCTGAGTTCCCTGACAATTTGGCAAAAGCTGCCTGAGATTATGCAGGAAAACTGCATCAGTCGTAGTCTACGTCCTTTCAGGAAGTCGGTCGCTGGTGCAGAAATGCCTGATAAGCTGAGGTATAATGTTCATGGCATTGTAGCCATGCAGGCACCACTAACATTGACACTGCACCACAGTCCACAAACACTGAGTTTTGCGGGCTTATACCTGTGTGGCCCGTGTCTCGCCTTGATAAACGTAACGCTGAGGTATAGGCAGCTGGCAGTGCATTACAAATTCATATAGAGAAAGCTGTGTGTTATGTCAAAGCCAAACGAAGTAAATTTGTTATCAACAGGTTGTCGTCTAAATATAAAAAGTTTTCGATTAAAGTGTATTAGGAATTTTTGTTGTACAGCTAAAAATTACCAGTGCCACCACCGAGCAAACACTACCAGTCATTCATGGCTTAGCGTAAGTCCTGCGTACCCGGCAAAACCAGTTACCTACACGAATGCGAGCGCAAAACACCTCAGGTGATTAAATGAAGACGAGCCGGATTTATGACGTGGGGGTGGACCACATGTAACTTGCTTAACCACCCAACTTTAGCGGGTCTCCGCGTAAAGTCCCGAGGCAGGACGTCATATACGGCGTGAGATTTCGGTACATAAGGCCGCTGGTCCAGGACCAGAGCATACATTCTCTCAGCGCATAGCTCGGAGAACACGCACACAGCAGCGGAGACCAGTCATGTCTCTTCTGGCGTTCACGTTTGTCTGTTTGAGCATGTTTGTGATGGGCGAGGCGATGGATCTGACAAGGGTGCAGCGAGGATCCCTGTATATCAGACTGCCACCACGTAAGTCGGAGCTCTAGGTATTTAGATTGTGGGTTTGTAATATCATTCACTTTTTCTGTATCTATTTGAACATATTCTTGTAATAATCGATGAAGCTATTTCTTTGTAGCTATATCACGTAAGTGAAAGAACGTATGAATGAATGAAT